TCCCAAGCCAGCTCTTAACCAATGCGCCACTCGGCCAGCCTGGTTGTAGATTTTTTTTTTTTTTAACTTGCATTTCCCGCTTCTTCCCTGCTTGTTTTTGTGCTCATACAACCACTGTATAAGACGCACCCAGTTTTTAGACCCCAAATTTTTCGGAAAAAGGGTGCGTCTTGTACATGAGGAAATATGGTATGCCTTGCTTTTATAACTACAATCACTGCGATTTATTTTCCTATCTTCTTCATCTGAATTCTTGCTAATGCTACTTTCTTAAAATACCTTGAAAAAATGACAAAAACTCATTAGATGCCAATTACTTTCTTAGATGCAAGGCTAAACTTTGTCTTAAATTTCACAATGGTACAAGGATACTGACATTTGACATATAATATGTACAGACTCTGGCTGCTCCTGGAAAGCCATGGTAAAAATACTTCAAAGGTTACAGAGGGTTTGGTGAATTTCACTAATTAATGAGACCTCTATGGAACATCCAGTTCCTACTACTTATAATGCACTGAAGCTCAAAGAGTATTCTCTATTATCATTGCATCTGTCTTCCCATGAACTATTTAGAAATTCAAACTCCTATGTATGCTAAAGAGTAAGTAGTTCATGAAGTGACTTCAACCTCTATTACAATTTCATTTCATATATTAAAGCACATGTACATAAGATTTAAAGGTGTACTAAACACTATACATATATTTTCTGAATTACCATAAAGTAAAAATAATTCTCTTGATCTAGCCTCACTTTCCTCTCTTAAAAAACACATAAACAATAAAAATTGTTTTTAAAAATCTCTTAAATTCCTTTATTTCCAATTGCTTAATGAAATTTCCTTTCAAGCAGAAATTTAATTCTCAATGTGGATAATGGCATGCTCTTTTTCTTCTATAACTCCATTAGAATGTTGTTGGTTAGATGATACTCCTCCAAAATAAACTGTGAAACAGTTACTGAAAGAGTTCTCCTCAATCACTGAGAAAACTACATTCAACTAACCTTCTAGCACTGCCCACCTCCCTTCATACAGCAGTGAATGAAGCTAATGGCAGCTATTCTGTGGACTTATTTTCTTTTACCCTAGAGAAAAGGCATGGGACAATTTCTAAGTAAAAATATTTCTTAAATTACAGGCTTAAATAACACCATGAAATATGCTATTTATTATATACCCAATATAATAAATGTAAAAAAGTGGTATCAAAGAAAAGTTATCAATTTTTTTTCACTTAAAAAGTATTTAATTATGTATATGTAAATAGAAGTGCATAGAAAAAAGTTAACAGAAGCTATCTCTGAGTGGAAGGATTAGATATTTTTAGATGTTTCAGAAAAAAAACCACAAACATACCATCATTGACTCGGTAACATAAATTACACTTCCATCTCCTTTGATCAAGAAAGCTGACAAAAGGGTTGATGTATGTCCTGCAGGAACGGCATCTCACAATTGTATTGGAGGTAACCACAGGCAATTGCTGAAAAAACAGAACTAATTTTTTAAAGGTAGTGACCATCGTGACTAAAGGTCAAGCATTTAACCACAACCTTCCAAATTGCGGGATGTTATAAATTAGGAGAAAAAAACCCTAGGGTAAAAAAAGATGTGTCCAAAGTGCCACACAAAAAAATTACATAGCTGAAGTGTATTGATTTGAAAGCCTATTGTTTTTCTCCAGGACTGGTCTCTTAAATTTTACCTTTAAAGAAGTATTTATTTTCTCATTAAACATTTACATCGCAAAGCCAATATAGTAAATTTACAATGTATTTTTGAGATGGGTGGCAAAGGAAGGATCAAAATTATAAAACAAATGACCAATGAAATTAATTGGAAGTTTCTTCATGTTACATTAAGAGGCTTACAAGGTTCTCATGAAAGAACTGTCACAAAGTAAGGTAAGGTTAAATTATATTTAAATATTCAATTAAACTTTGCAATTATGTTCCTTTTAAAGTTTATCATACATATTAAAAGTTGTAAACTCTTAATATAAAAAATCAGTAAAGGCAATACAATCCTAAAAGGAGGTTTGTTTTGAAAAAGTCAATTCACTTAAGCACTGATCCTCTCAAGATTATGTGGCCTTATGTCAAGGTCCCAGAGCCTTAGCACAAAAGTGGAAGGTTTGTTGTTGTTGTTGTTTAGCTGAGCCATTCTGCCACCTGTTGGCAGCTCAGCTCGGGCCAGGAATCAAACCTGCGACCCTGTTGCTCAGAGCTCACACTCTTGAGCGAGCTATTAACCAACTGAGCCACTTGGCAGGCCCTGTTGTTGTTTTTTTAACAGCTTCTTAAGGCAATGAATTTTACTCCAAGAATGGCAGAACTGCAAGACTGGGTGAAGTATTTTAATAGGTAAATAATTCATAACTTTTTAAAATAATATGATTCATTTATTTATTTTCTTTCAGTATCTCCATTCTATTCAGTACATCTTGGATTTTTCAACAATATGCTTATTTTATCTCATTTTGAAAGTGTTTGGTAATACAATTTTTGGTCAAATTCCTAAAGATAGCTCAAACAAATTCTATATGTAATTCTTTCATTATTGAAGAAAATTCCTCACCACTGAGATAATTTTCCACAAGACATTTACTTTTACTAGTGACACATACCACTAGGTCTTTGAAAGGATGAAGCAGCAGTCCCAAAGGAAGTTTGGCTTTATTCAGTAAGGCCTGAGTCTGAGGAATGCTAGTCAGTGTACATCGAAATAACCTATATTAAAGTAAAAATCATGTGTCAGTTGTTGCTATGATTATTTTTGGACAAAAACAGAAAGATTTAAAAGGTACATATTTTAACACTGGATCAGGTTATAAATAAAATATTTCAATAGGTCCTCTCAAATTTTATCCCATTTAAATATTTAAGTCCAATTCAGAAAGAGGGTAGATGGTTATAACACTGTATTATATAATTAAAATAAAGTCTCTTCTCTGCTTGTGCACAAGACAGTCTAGACTACAAATGACCTATTTTTCTTTCTTTTCTTTTTTTTTAAAGATTTTACTGGGGAATTGGGAGAGGGGAACAGCATTGGGGAATCGAGGAAGGGGAACAGACAAGTTGCTGTCCTTTTGTTCTTCAATCTAGTTGTGGAGGACGTCGCTTCACTGGCCCATGTTGGTATTGTGATCATTGCGCTCTTCCCGGCTGAGGCAGATCCATAGCTGGCCATTGGACAACCGCTCACCGCAGCTCACAGCAGCGCTGCCGGCCACTCACGCTGGCTGCTGGCCATGCACGGTAGCTTACGGCAGCCTACTGCAGCCCCACTGCAGCCTACGCCGTTGCCGGCGACTCACAGCAGCCCAGCTCCAGGTTGAGCTGTTGTTCACCATCTTAGCTGTAGAGGGCGCAGTGTCACTGCCCCTCATGTGGGATCCAAACTGGGGCCCTGCTGCTCAGAGCTCACGCTCCCAAGCCAACTCTTAACCAACGAACCACTCGGCTAGCCCAACCTACTTTTCTTTATATAAATCTAGATTACACTGGAATAACAAGCTAATGTCCCAAATTTGCAAATGCAAAGTTAAGTTTATTACTAAAATGTTCAGCTTTGTTGAAGTTCTAAAAGACTATTTAAATATAACAAAATTCCATTTATCAGAAAGTCTTTACCACTTACATTTAAACTTATGGTCAATTTTAAGAAAGAAAAGAGTATAATTATGTCTGTTATAAAAACAATTTAAGGGCTGGTCAAGAGGTGCTTTGGTTAAGAGTTGGCTTGAGAAGCCAGCTCTGAGCAGCAGCAGGGCCCCTATTCGGATCCCACATGAGGGCCAGTGATACTGCGCCCTCTACAGCTAAGATGGTGAACAACAGCTCAACCTGGAGCTGGGCTGCCGTGAGTCCCCGGCGATGGCATAGGCTGCAATGGGGCTGGCTGGCAGCAGGCATGAGCTTTCGTGAGCCGCCATGAGCGGCTGTCCAATGGCCAGTGAGCAACTGCCTCACCTGGGAAGAGCGCAATGCTAATACCAACATGGGCCAGTGAAGCCATGTCCTCCACAACTAGACTGAAGAACAAAAGGACAGCAACTTGTATGTTCCCCTCCCCTAATTCCCCCAATAAAATCTTTAAAAACAAACAAACAACCAAAAAGAATTTAAAACAAGAGCAAATAAAGGATTATACAGAATCAAATCCTTGTACTTTGGACTTTGAAGGATTCATGTAGCTACTGATAATGATAATGAACTAATGATAATGAATATCACAGTCCCATTACAGCTGATAAGGGCAGCAATCAACTCAGGGGTCACAGCCTTATTTCTGGACTTAGAACATTTCAAATAGCAATTAAGAACATTTCAAATAGCAATTAAGCAACTAACCGAGTTCTGTTTTCTGCATGCAGAACTACTTTCATAAATTAATATATTTGTGCAAGTTGTTCATAACTTATGAAGCTCCACAAAATCTGGGAAACTTTTAGAACAAGCAAAATGTCTTATTTAGTAAGAAACATTGTTTGAAGCCTTACTCTGGGTTACAGTTGAGTTTCTGGATATCTTCATGCAAATTTGGAACTGGAGGCTGCAAAGGTGTTGGTGGAAGCACGTTTCTTTCTTGAAGAAGATTGATAACTCTTAGACCCTCTGGATGTAGACTTAATCCACTCATGCTTGCAGTTAAATGATTAGCACCTAAGGGAGTCTAAAGATATATAATTTCAAATTAAGTAGGCTTTATAATGTCTTCGGTTGAAAACATAAGTGTATAGGGTCTTCGTTAGTTCATTTCTCTATAAGGAACAAAACTATAACCTAGACTTCCTGGTCAATTTTTTTTATTCTGAAGATATGTAACAGAACAAAGGTCTTATTGAAATATCCATTATTATTCTAATTGGTAAAAATGTTCATTATACTTTCTGGAAACTTTTTCATGTATATACAGTTTAACCCCAACAGTGGAAAATAAGGAAGGAAGGAAGGGAGGGAGGGAGGGAGAGAGGAAAGGAGGGAGTGGGGGAAGAGAAAAAGAAAGAAAAGTTTACCTGAGTAAAGGCCTGTGGCCCAGTTGGGTAATTCAAAGAAGAGGGTGGCATTCCTGTTGTACTAGGTGGTGGGGTATTCTGATAACCAGGCGGTAAGGAGGGATATGAATATCCAACACTTCGGCTCACTGTGAGGTTGTTATTAGCAAGCTGTGGTGTTGCTAGAATCAAGGAAACTCGTAAGTTCTATTTTAGACTTCAGAATACTTTAAATCAACACTCAGATCCATTAAATTATAGGAATTATAACTCCCAAATCCTTTGGGTAATTTAATACTTTCACCTACCAATTTTGTAAAATAAGACAAATAAACACTAGTAACAAAGTAATAGCAATGATTAAAATCTAGGTAATGTAGACTACAGCTGTAAACACAAAAATAAGTTTATTTTCATATGTACTAAACTTTGTATTCAGACTAAAATTCTAATTCAAAACAACTTTAATAAAAACATACTAAATGTTCAACTTGTTAAATAAATTTAAATAGACCTAATAGATGAAAAATACTCTAGTCATAACAACACAATAGTAAAGCCCATGATCACAATTCTGAAGAAAAAAAAAAAACTAACAAAAAAATCTAAATGCATGGAAATAAAATATGCTAACAGTAGGTTTTGCTGCAGGACATAACTATGAGGGTATCTTCTTTGTTTCCTACAATGAACACGTTTTTTAAAAAAACAAAAAAACTTTCATAGCATCTCACCCAAGAAGCCACCGCCTTCAATTTCATCATAACTATTGTGAACCATCATAGACCCATTATTGGTATTCGATGTAATACCTAAGAAGAAAGTTTATTAACAATATTTAAATTAGAACAATGATTACAATTTCTGCAAGATTTGAGCTAATGTCTAAAATTTAAGATAACTTTCTGAATGACAAACTGTTTAAACCGCAGCCAAGAAAAATGTCAAATGTTGAAATAAAAATTTCAAACAATGCAAGTTTTTAAACATACCAAATATACAAAAGTATCAAATAATTTTATAATCTTCTAAAAAGGATGGTCCTTTGTAGAGTTTATAAAATTATATACTGTCTGAAAGATTTCAGCAGTTCTGAGAGCAGCATTAAAAACCTCCAAGGAGGGGCCGGCTGAGTGGCTCAGTTGGTTAAGAGCTCGCTCAAGAGTTTGAGCTCTGAGCAACAGCGGTTCAATGCCCGGCCCGAGATGAGCTATCGCTGAGCTGCCAACAGGTTGGCAGGATGGCTCAGCTAAAAAAACAAAAACAAACCTCCAAGGAGCAGTATACACTGAAAAAATAAAAAAAATCACCAAAATCAATACTATTAAAGGATAAATAAAATTATGAGGGTAAAAAATCTTTTTTCCAAATTTAGGAACAAAGTGGAATCCAGAATTACTTTGAAGATGATGTAAATTAATTAGAGCATTTGTTTTAGTTCAGAGAACCACTAAAATAAAATAAAAATCTTGCCCCCCATCCCCAATTTAAAGAGTTAAATGCCAAAAACATCTACTTTTGAAGAATAGAAATTTATTTATTGGTCTGTTTGCTATTTATGACCTCTAATTCAGATACAGAAGAAACTCAAATCAGTAAACAGCATCAACCTCTAGCACCTAAGTATAAAGGTACTAACTTTAACAGTCACTTTAACACCAAATAGATAAGTTTAATGGTTTCAAAAAACTCAGTAACTACTTTCCAATTCTCAAGACCACCACGACTTCAGCCATGAGCTGATACAGAAAAATGTAGTAAAATTGTAGAAACAAACAAAAACATTGTGCATATTTTCAGTTGGTTAAAATTTTTAATATTTATTGTTGCTTGATTTTCAAAGTTATAATGTGACAACCAGTGGGACACTGCTGTATCATTTTATTCCTCATTGTTAACACCATTCTTTTTAAACTATTCACAAATTTGTTTTTCCCCTACTTACAACTCTAAAACAAAATACAAAAATGATAATGTTTGTTGTATCCAGTAGTAGGACACGAGCAATAGTTTTCCCCCTCTTCTTCTGTATTTCTATTTCTACATCTTACTGCAATGGTTATTTTACTGCTAAAATCAAATTTCTTACTTTTCTAAATATTTTGCTTAAATCAATAAACATATTTTAAAGTTATGCTTTAAAATATTTTATTTTTTATATAAAACTTCAAATGCTTGTATATTTAATTTTTTACTTAGACTCATAAAGCTTTGTTATTTACACTAATACTGCTTCCATAGAAAAGAGCCAATATATTAAAGGATAGTTCTAACATCATGTCCAGAAAAGCAGGGATTCTCCTTTCGATTCCCTCTCCCAAGAGGCACCTAACTTTCTAGATGCAGCAACAAAAAAAGTTAACAGCAGTGGTTCCCAAATGCTAGTCCACAGCCTAGCACAGGGCAGTGGAATACTGACGAACTTTTTAAACTCTAAGTTTCTGAAGTGTGTCCCTAACCAAAATAACAATTTTCTGGAAAACTATGATTTGGATGCACAGAATTCAGATGATATTCACCCTTCTACCCTAAGTCAAAACTTTAAGACTTGATTTGGTTTTTGTCATGCTTACCTTCTTGGTTGCTAGCTGAATTAAATGGGGGCTGGGACACAGCTCTATGTGGTGATATCTGAGGAGTGAGTGCCCTCACGGGAGGTGGTCCTCCAGTTGGAGGGGGCCCAATAGGAGCTCCTGGTTGAAAAGTGGTAGGCAGAAGTGGATTCACTAAGGGGGGCGCAGAACCTATGGAGACATTGGTTTTTTACACATCATTTAAGAACTTAAGGCAAGGCCAAAACAGCGTTTTACCAAATCTGAGTAACTTCTAAATTTATATTTTAATTATATTCAGCAACAAATTACCAGAAATGTTAACATCCCAGGTTTATGAGTTTTTAATTTATATGCGTCCTTTACACATTTTCAAGTCTCTCCTACCATGCTTCTTACCTGTCAATTATTAAAGCAGTAAAAGTATGAAATCAGCATCAGATCACTTATAGGGTACATACAATACCCTATGTATTGATTAATTTTTCATTAACTGGTCAACAGTTTCAACCGGCCATGTCAAATATTCCAGTAGAAACTGACATAAATAAAATTTTATTAATGGCCTATTATCCATTCAATTAACATCAATTAGGTTTAGAGTTAGCTTTCTAAAACTACAAAGTATTGTGATTACTCTAAATTCTCTAAGTTTTATTTCATTTTGCTTCATTTTTATTGGGGGTATAACCTGTTAAAATGAGATTGTAAATTTGTGCACTGCTCAATAACTTATTAACAATTAAAAGTAGTTTACTTTCAGTAATAGTTTAAATAAATACGATATTATGAACACTCCCTAAGCTTAAAAACCAGGAAATGATCCAAAGTTTATGCATACTTTAGAAAACATTGCTGTCCAAGAGGTGTAAAAGTACCCATCAAACTAAACTAAGAATGACATGGTATTTGTCCTTGCATCTACCTGGTATCTCACTGCCTCAATTTCACTAATTTTCTATTAGGACAATTAAGTTCTGACCAATGTAAAAAACATTATCGGTTACTCTTGGGAAAAGTCTTCTAGGTGATATCAAAAGTTCCAAAACCCACAGACACCTGTTCATTCGGTCAATAATATTGCTTCCACCTTCTCATCTGTCAAAGAGGAAAAACAAAGTACTATAAAATACTACTAATAAGTTCGTGATTTAATTTTTCATTCCAAGCCTTTTTTAAATTCTCTGAATTTATAAGTGAAATAGGTAACAAATTTTACTTATAATATATTTTACAGTTAACTCTGTATTTTGTAAAACTCAAGGAATGAAAATATGCTCCCAATTAAATGAAAAATTAGCTCCCAACAGGACTAATCAGTGCCCTGTTGACAAAAGTAAAGACAAAGATTACTACATGTACCTCCCTTATCAAGGAAGCACCCACACATATCTTTGGCAATACAGACCAGTCAAAGGAACAAAAGGGCAAGGAACATTGCCAACTCAGCAGGAACAGGAATGTATGACACATCTGGCCACAAAAAAGCAACAACCTAATGTTTAAAAGAATCCACGTGAGCTTATAGAGATTTTTCACAACTTTAAGAAGAATATTTTTTAATCCAAAATATGCTACATTTCATAAGATAGACATTATTTTTTCAAGCTGCATAATTCTTACTTATAACACTAATAACTAAAGTTTCAGAACCTGCTTTCTACTATCCCTAAAGCTAATACAAGGATGCTAAAAGGTGGCCTATTAGGAAAAAAAGAATTTTAATATGTGGGCTAGAAATTTAGTATAACTTAGATACAGTTTTGAGATCAGAAAATCAAGCACCTACTATCAAAGATGGGTTGAAAAAACAGGTAAAAAAGGAATTACTTTTAGAAGTCTCATAAGAAAAAAGAAGGGTAGTCATACATTCATTTTAGGTTCATTTTATTAATTTATGTATCTTTCTTTCTCCTTCTTTTACACGGAAACCTTCATAGTTTTGGCACTTGCATATGTCTCTTTCACCACATCTGTCTGTGCTGCAGTCAAAGTGCTCTACCTAAAGGCTTCTGTTATAGCCAAAAATATTTCAGATTATCGATTATGTACTTTTAAACATGAAACTACACATACTCTTAAATAGTTTTTAAATAGTACCTGTTCCCAAATTATTTTCTTGTGACTATGTGGAAATTATTCAAGCCTCAGATTTCATACTTGTAAAAGAGACTGCTGAGAAGATTTAATAAGATAACACATGTAAAAGTTTGGTCAAGTGCAGGAAAACAATATTCAATAAATGTTACCTAAAACTATTAATAATGAAGTGAATATTCATTAATTTCATGTGATTGATGCTCACTCATGGTTTCAAATTAACAAAAATGAAACTAACCAGAAGAATTGGGGTTCTAACAATTGTGGGTCAGAAGATTTCTACAAAGAAACTAAGTTTCTAGAAGTAGCCTTAATCTTTACAAGGTCAAAATGCATTCACCAGGACCAGTGGCTGGTCAAGAAGCTAAGAAAAATAAGTAGTTTCAGCAGTTAACAAATTACAAGTCTGATGAAGTGCATACAGTATATAGATGCAGAAATACATATGAATATACCTATTGGTAACTACTGATACTACTGTTTCACTTGGATGCTTTTACTACCTCATTTCCTTGAGGATGCCTGCTAAGCAGAATCAACCTGCAGATCCCAATATAGGATTTTAAATGCTTTTCAAAGTAACACTATTAATGTTGGTAAGTGTGTAAGACTAATTTTAATAGTAAAAAAAAAAAAGAATAGTGAAATGGTTAAACGAACCTACTTTTGAAACAGATATGATGAAATACTGAAGTTAAAAATAAAAAGATCAAAGTCAGTCCAAGAAGATACAGATTTCTTCCCAAACTGATGTACAGTTTCAACACAATCCCTTATCACAATCCTAGCTGTGTATTTTACAAAAAATGACAAGTTGACTCTAAAGTTTTTATGAAAATGAAAGGGACCCAGAGCAGCCAAAACAATCTTGAAAAAGAAAAACAAAGTTGGTAGAGTCACACTTCCCAAATTCAAACCTCACTACAAAGCTACAGTAATTAAGGGCCGGCCGAGTGGTGCGATGGTTAAGAACTGGCTTGGGACGCCAGAGGACCCCGGTTTGGATCCCACATATGAGGGCCAGTGACACGCCCTCTACAGCTACGATGCTGAACAGCAGCTCAACCTGGAGCTGGGCTACCGTATGTAGCCAGCAGCCAGCATGAGCGGCCAGCAGCCGCAGTGAGCGGC